TGATGTGTGCAAAATAACATATGGAGACATTAATATATTTTCTCAATTAACTCAATAATCAAATTCAGAATTCTAATCCCATTTCAAGCATCCTGATTCACACAAAGACCAATCTGCATTTTTCTAGCATATATGTGTACAGACAAAACTAAAAGACAGACCACATAACTAACAAAACACATTGGGCCCTTCATGCAGCAAGGACATTTTCCGAAGAGACAGCAATCCTTCTCTTGGCCGACGCCATTCGTTCACACACTTTCCTGCCCGGCCGTGTGCTCTTCCTGCCTGTGACGTCTTTACCCTCAGAGTTCCTAACCACCACACGCTGCATTATCCGCACTGGAATCCCTCCCAAGTCGAAATCCTCCTTGAGTGACTTTGTAAGGAACCTCAGGTCCGTTTCTGAGAGCCGGGCCTTCCCGCTCACAAACGCCACAAACGTGGGGGGCCGGGCCTTCACCTGAGTGAAGTACTTTACCTTCGGCTGGGCTGACTGATCTTTCCAGGAATGCCTGCTCATAACCTAACACACTCACCACAATATTAAACTCAAATAAGCTAATACTGCTAACATTCTAACTACCACAATTAAATAATTAAAAAATGGAGAGTTTATTTTGTCCGAAATTTAGCCCCTTGGTGTTAGAAAATAGTCCGTAATTTTCATTCACTTGAAAAAGAAGAAAAATGAAAAATACCACTTGCCACTTTTAAAATGTCATATTGAATCAAGCATAATTGGCTGTTCTTTTTATTTTTTGTTGTTTTGTAATTAGGTCAAAACTCAAGGATTTACATAATTATCCCTTTTATGGGCCAAACCTTGCGAAGCCATCGGTTGAGACGAGCTGTCGACAGCCTGCGGCACCATTTCTCATATGTATCGATTACTTGGCGCATCATGGACAACCGGCCTTTACCTTCTATTGCAGAAACAAATACCACAGGTATACCAGTCACCTGCAGATTACATGAAACTGATGTAAGATAATATCTTTCTTTTGAGTGATTTCATTCAAGCAGGTTGTCAATTTTTCACCAAGGTCAAATACTAAAGAAGTAGTTTTAACATGATAATTTTAAAATTTAACATTTCACTGCAGAGCCAGAATCAGAATGACGACACACCAAGGTAGTATCAAATACTCCCTTCATCCCACAAAGATCGACACGTCTACACTTTACACATGGTTTAGTAAAAGAGTAACTATTGTTGTAAGGAAAGTAACATTAGGAGTTTTTCCTAATCTAACCATTTTATATAAATAATGATCGCATTTTTGTGATTCTATTTGTTGATAGCCATGCAAATTAAACAAGGGATGAAATGAAATTAATATTTTTACTCAATCTGTCAATGTACAATAAGCCTATCTTTGGGGCACATTTGACAGAAGCATCCAATGTAACAACACACAAACATGTATCTGTATATCCGTAAGATCTCAAAAAATGTCCAACGAATAATAATAATATATAGTCTAAGAAATGCAACATTCTACTGTTTGAAAATGAGATGTCAGCAATGTTTGTATCAGACAGCATGTCTGAAACCAAACCAGGTGAATATTATAAGTTAGATATTTGTGGTGTGCTTCTAAAGTGATGGACCTGTGGTATCAGAGTCTGAATTTCTTCAGGCACGGCATTGATAACACTTTCGTACATTTTTGCATTCTTTTTCCCTCTCAAAAGATCCATCTTGTTAACCACAACCACCAAACCCCGCCCTTCCTCGATAGCCCGCCTGGCAATGACTACTTCAGCATGATTCATGCTCCGTCTACCTTTTGCAATCTGTATTTTTACAAACAAAAGGCACATATAATATAAGTGACAAGTTGACAATATTCAAAGATAGATTTACCAGAAGACTCGTTCTGAACTGTACAAGAGATCAAAAGAAAATCACAATTATTGTATAATTGACAGGCACTAAACAGAACAGACCTCTTCAGCATCAAGAACCAAAGCAACCACGTGAGCCCTCATGAGATGCTTCCTCGTCTGCACAATGCTCAACGATGATGGACCCTTGTCCTGCTTTGTTCTCTCCAACCAGCCTGCAGTGTCGACCTGTACCCAAGAAGAATAAATGGGAGCATATTTATAAAAATTCCTTCCATGTGCTTGGATTATAACACAACATCAGATTTAGTTTTCTATCAGATAGCCTACTATGAACTACATAAACTGACACTGTTGACACTCACGAGATAGACGTTTCTCCCTTCATACTGAAATTGAACTCGGATGGAATCTCTCGTCAAGCCAGCTTCAGGTCCAACTAAAACTCGATTCTCTTGTAGTAAGGCATTTAGCAAAGTAGACTTCCCTACATTTGGCCTCCCTACAATTGCCAATTGCAATGGAAGCTTTGAGTCGGTGTCCTCTTCCTCAGAGGAGCCGTTGCCCAACACATCCTCATCTATCAGTAGGAACAAAAAAGGGTCAGTAGATAAAAAAATATAAGGGATTACAACATAAACAAATTAGACTTGAACATTGCCACTCTCTTCTGAAACAAATAAACAGTTTGGACAAGCAATTAATAACCATGGTGAGTACATGGCCATAGTTAAATATATATGGAGTGCTTCTTAACTCCTTTAGTACTTGAGGGGTTGAACTCAAATAGAAAGTGTACAGTTATTCTGAAAGTCATGGAGTTTTATGAATCAAATATATTTGCAATTTACACAAGATGAACATCTTATTGCTGCATATGTTCATGTTCTAGGTACAAGTGCAGCTTTCAACTCCATACGACTAGGTTTGATCAACTGAAAGGCAGTTCAAGTATTTACTTCTCTTTCCTCACATTCCCTGTATATTGATAGTCTCGTCATTGTATATAGTCAAATAAACGACGCAAAAAATTATCAGCGTGCTACAAAACCTTAATATCCAGCTTCCAAATTATCCAATACATTGCTACCACCTATCTGCCCCAATCAAAGGAAAACAGATACCAAATTTCATTTATAACCTACCTTCAAGCATACAAAAACTATATATAAACTAGATAAAACGAGAGTTAATGGAGTAAATAGAATATTATATAAAAAATTGTTACTAACAAATAAGGGGAAACAACTCCTAAGCCTAGAATAGTACTCCAGAGATTTACCATCTATGAACTTGAGTACAAAGTCTTCCAGGTATGGCCTCAGAGCTGCATACAACTCCGTCATCCCAAATCCAGTTTCAGCAGACAGAGAAATGGGATCACCGAACCCTAATGTATAAGCCTCAGCAGCAGCAGAAGCTAGAGTACCATTAATGTCATCAAGCAGCTCTGATTTATTCATTACGACAACAGTCTTGATACCCGCTGCATGCTTTCTCAACCACTTTCCAACATCCAAATCCATGGGTTGCAGTCCATCTCTAAATTCAAAATGCAATTAATAAAAACAAATTCCATGCTAATTCATTTTGAAAGAGAAGTCAAACGATAATCTGTGACACATAGTTATAAAGAACCACATTTACAATTACTCAAACCTTCATCCCAACGACACCATGATGCATCCACTCAAGAAATCTGCATTTTACATTGTAGTTCTCAAGACATATACAACTGGGTGTGGATTTAGATGAGGTGCATGAATGCGTAACTTTTGAAAAAGAAAAATTATATGTAGATATGTATTACTATAATTACATTACCTTGTATATTTATAAATATAATGTATAAAAAGTTTAAATTTTTTCATCCTGCTTTTTCAGCATTAAAAGAATAAAACTTTTAAATCAGTCTTACATATCTATTATGAAAAAATAATATTGTTTAAATTAAATACCACGATTTCGTTTAATTTATGGGATTTTCGAGTAAGTATGTTATCGCTTTTAAATTTAAATATGTAAAATATTCGTAACTTTCCTTTTCTCTCGTCCCATCCATCGACAAAACCTTACAAAAATTAGCCGTACTGAATCTTATTATTATTATTTCTTGGAACTCTGATAAAACTAAAATGTGTCCGCTCGTTTGAGGGGTCTACGTCTGCCCCTGTATACAACCCCATGAAGATTCACAAGCATCACTGATATCAGTATTCAAGAAAACATGAAAGTCTAACCTTGCATCAATGAGAAAGAGAATAAAGTGAGCCCTTGACATCACATCTTCTGTCATGGCAGCAGTTCTCCCAAGAACAGAACCTGAAGATGCCTCTGCCTCCAGTCCAGCTGAATCCAGAACACGAAACCGCAAATCACCCACTTTAGCAACACCATCCCGTATGTCACGTGTGACATGGTCAGTAGGGGTGTTGTAAACAAGAGCCTCCCTCCTCCGAATCAAACTGCAACACCAAGAGCCCAAGTTCAAAATTACAAGTGATGTATCACACAAATGATAAATTTGACTTCCAATTGTGGGATAAACATGATATTGATTTCAATAGTTAGAAGTAAGGGTTCCAGGTCAATAATGACAATAAGATCAAAACTAACCGGTTAAACAATGCCGATTTTCCGACATTTGGACGCCCTATGATAATGACGGTCGGAAGCTTCTCAATAGAAATTTTGGTGAAATCAATTGTTTTTGAAGATATCAGTTTTTCTTTCGGCTCATCACAATCAGAGTGATCAGCGATTTCTTGGATTTCTTTTGTTTCTTTGTTGGAGTCCTTTGATGGTGACAAAACAACAGGACCTAACAAATCATTCTGGACTTCATGCTCGGGTATCGTGCATAAGTATGCTGCAGCTTGACTAACGTGTGAACTGGG